GAAATTTTGGTCGAAAATTAAGTACTGTGCCGCCTTAAAAAACCAAACAACCAACTCAATGGTCTGATAAGATAAGACTTACCTTTAAGAAGTACAAATAAATGCTGTTAATCTATTAAAAAAATGTAAGCAGTAAAAATTTCTTGGCATTGTTTTAGCACATTAGTTTCTAGCACTGAAGTTGAACAAGTCTATTTATGTTTCGACATAATGCAGAAATAATACTCAACTTAATAAATAATGCATCAAATTTAGTAGCAATGAAACAATCAGACCATGGATAGAATCAATAGCATCATTGGATTGGCTCTATTTGATCATCATTTAAAGGGTATTATCAAAAAGAATTCAAAGCAATTAGAACACTTATCAAAAGCACTAAGGTGCAAAATACATACTTTCTTTTAAGCACACTCCATATTACAGTTTTCACTAAGAATAAAAAAAGGTAGGATGCTTCCGCGCAGAAAAGGGAACCCATTCAACACAGCAACATTCACAATATTTTGTATTAAATGAATTTGATTCATAGCAATTTTTCAATTATCCTAATTACTAATTTATGTGCTGTGCATATACTTCAATAGGTAATTCTCTATCAAAATAAGAGAATTTATTTTAACAAAAAAATTAAAGGCACTCTAAAAGATGCATAATTTTATTTCAAAAAAACCAATAAAAAATACTAAATGATGAACAGCTTGAAAACTTTCTATAATTTTTAAAAAAAAGAGAAACTCAAAAATTTAACTGAATGAGAATAATCATGAAAGTAATTGTATTTAATAGTTATCAAAATTAAACATATAAAATTATAATTTTACAAGTAGAAAATTATTAATAAAAGAGTAAATCAACTTTCTCTAAAAATGAAGCTACAGAAGAGAAACGAGGGTGCAAATATAAGAGTTTAAGGACAGGGTGGATTGATTATCAAAAAATGATTTAGGCTTATATTGGACGAAGGAATAGGAATAATTTTTGTTCGAAATAGGTTCCTTGAACTAATAGCATAGTAAAGCCTGTTGATTATTTTCCCAGACTACCAAGCCCAAGCAAAACATTGATGTTCAATGCAATGAAGCTTATCAGATTTTATCAATTACTTAAAGTGTCCCCATTTGTAAGAAAAAATTTTTTTTGCCTTAGCTTTAGAATTTGGAGTGTCTTTCTCCACTTAGTTTAGTGTTCAAAGCAAAAGCAAATTGGGAAAAATATAGAATCTGGTTTGATTTACTTAAGTAACAAACAAGAATCCTTGACGTTGATACCAGAAACAGGGACTGAAGTGTTAAGCATAAAATAGCAATTAGCTTTTATGTTCCTGTTCAATAAAATAGAAGCTGCACATTAGGTCAGATAGGAGCGAAAGATAATAAAATTCATCCAAGATCTCAGAATTTTAAAAGCATCATCATGAAAATGTGCTACATGATACTAAGATTTTACTTTAGTTATACAATACTTCAGAAACTGGTTAGTAATCATAACAATCATTAGAGGTGCCAGTGATATCATATTGCTGCATTTTAGATATCTATGCAAAAAAAAAGACTCAAGGCAAGAAATAATAAGCGCAGACTCTAAACTAATTTTAGCATGCCATCACCATAACTTCTATTATATATAAAAAATTTAATTTATTTTCATACAATCTTAGCAGGATTGTAAATATAATCTGCATATAAACAGAAGTTTTCTGCTGTGCAAATTTAAAAAAAAAAAAAAAAAAACAATGTAAGTAGCTCACAGCAATTTCAAGAAAAGCAGTTTGACAACTATTATATTTCTATTGCTAATGCTATGAATGCAAAAATAGAATTTCAACTGATAAAACAAAATTTAATTTTAAAAAAAAATTATTTTTTTGTCACCCACGTTGATTTTCCTTTCGCACGGCAGTTCTCACATTGCACTGTTGAAGAGTTAAAATGCTGTAGATTTGTGTCAAATTGAAAAAAAAAACATGCTAACAACTTGAAACGTGATATTCCATACTTCCACTGAAATATAACTAAAGTTGTAAAAGTATATTTTAGCCTCAGATAAAGAAAGATCAGCAATAAACTTCAGACAAGAGGTACCTAGGAAAATCATCACAGGCAATCTAGATTCATAATGAGCTAATCTATAGGGGTGAGCCTTTGGCAGAAGTTTGAATCCGCCAAACCTTAGACTTTCAATTCATGAGTAACCTTAAATGAACCTGAAAAAATTATAGTAACTCCAAAATTTAAATTGTGAGACAAATATTTATTATTGATTGAATTTAAAAGGTAACTAATTCAGAGAGTAACTAATCAAGGAATTTTCAAATGTACAAAAATATATATTTAATTCAAATTATTTTTAATCAAATCACCATACTCCTTCCCCATAAATCTAATTTATTCATAATTTTAAGTTAACTCAGCATTATTACCAGAACATACATTTGAATGAAAACAATTAACATGCATTTATAGTATTGAATGTGTGCGAGAACAACGGAACAAAATGACTAAAGAGCCAAAATGTACGAGGAACTCTTACTTATCTATCTGCCTTAATCAGTCCCTCGACTTAAAAGAAATCGATGGTCAAGTGAAGCAGAATTTACTTTGTATTTCTCAGCTAATGTACATTATTCAATGTACTATGGTTAAAATATTCATCCATCTTAGAAAAACGTAATAGTTAGGACAGTAATTGAATAAGCATAATGATGCACCTTAAAATACACCACTAGAACTTACTTCAGAGAAACAACCACTCATCAGGATTCTCACCATAAAAAGTTCTTTTTTCTAACTTCATACCTGCCAACTTTTCCGGCTTTACCCGGAAGAGTTTTTTTTTTTTCATATTTAAAGCGCTAGCAAAAGTCATGTTATTTCACTAAACTTTTTGAATGATATTAATAATTATAAATGAGTTTGACCACCACTACATATAAATAATTACAACAAATATATAAAAAGCATATTAGTCATCATTAGAGCGAATTTCAACCTGGTTAAAATATAAATATCATTTTGAGTAAAACTGTTTTACGGTAATTGTTTTACTACCACTTGGAAAATCCATTCTCGAAAAAAAAAAATGAATGTTGGTTGGTATGTAACTAGATACTTAGTCTGAATTACTTCAGAGAAATATCATTTCTACAGTATCTTTCAGTCTGGGGCGATACAATTATCATCACGGTAAGACAGACATATTTAACTTCTAACCAGCACATTTAATTTTAAAACATCTGAGTATATAAAACTAAAAAAAAATAAAAAATCAGAAAATACTAAGCATCATTGATCAGAAACACGGACCAAAGTATTAATCATCATTAAAAAAGTATAAACAAAAATTAAGAGATACTTAAATGAACTATGCTGTTTTCAGAGATCTTGGTGGTAAATATAATCACTTCTTCAGAAGAAATTATTAATCATCACTATAGCAGCACAGACTAATGTTCCTCTCATGTCAAATTAGAGCTTGCAATTGAATACACCACCTTTGAATTTTAAGAACTAAATATTTTTGGAATTTTCTATGCAAGCTGAAATTCATAATTCTAAAAATCAATATCATCCTGGAAGAAAATTTTACTTCTTAAGCCGCGCATATGAAATGAAGAAAAAAATATTTATCACTATACCAGTAATTTATATCAAAAAATATAATTAGTCACCTTGTAATAGCACACTACAAAATATTTTAAATATTAGTGTTTTGAACTCAAACAATTCTTTAGTAAAATACAGTAACCAAAAATATGCAAATCACTATGCAGAGAAAGAAACTAAGAGCGGATGCTTGAATTGATGTACGCTCAGAGAAACTAAAGAATACATGTTAAGGTAAGATTAAAACTGATAATTTCTTTCTTCAGTGATAGCTTTTTAACTTCAGTATCTGGATGTCATTACGATAGCAGTAAGTCCAAAAAATGGATTAAACATGTGAGATTTCTTCTTATTCTAATACAGATTATGATAAAACAATATTTATAAAATACTAATTGAAACATACAATTAAAAAAACTTCCAATCAGTATAAGCAGCCTAAAGCATTCAGCACTATTAACATGCACCTGTACAAAACTTCCAATAAAGAATATAACAAAACAATATGTATCACATACTAAATGAAGTTTATCAGAATTAAATATATTTAATCTAATCAGTATAAATAAGTATAATCAAATTTTCAGCGCCTAGCCAATTATCATCATGATATGCATTACCCAATATTTATATATTATATAATATTATATACTAATATTTATTATCAGTAACTCAACACCAGTAACTTAAATCTAAAAATTTTTACAAGTCAGACTATTAAATTTGATTTTTCAAATAAAAAAATATTCAGTAAAATACAGTCAGCATGTATTTCAGACATATGCTTGTTAGACATCATGAAGCAGAAATATGTAAACCACTTTAGCTACGTTCAAAGCAGAGAACACATGTTAACATTAAGTCAGAATTTAATTACCATGCATCACTAATAAAAAAAAATAACTTCAGAAACTGAGCAAGAATCACTAAGTATTCATAAGAGGTGCCAGTGATGTCATCATGATAGCGTTAAATCCAAATTGGTTTTTTCTGTTATAAAAACTTTGTCACATCACAAGATCTTATAATTTAATCATATTGTTAAAACACTTGTTCAAAACTTCTGATAAAGAATACCATGACAAAGTATGTATCATACTAAATGAAATGTATCAAGCTTCCAGCCAATTACCATTATAGTGTGCATTACTTACGACATTAATGCAAAGAAAAAAATTAGAAAAACCACAGCAAATTTAGGTGGCGGTGATGCTGGGGAGACTTTACTAGTCTATGAAATAACTATTGTGGCGTAACTACCACTATAAATATTAAATACCAAATCACTAGTATATAAGAGATGTTAACATGATTCTATCATGAGGTACCTTTTGATAGATGAAGGTTGACATAGTCTATAATTAAATCCCCACATTGGTGACCCAGATTTTTGACATGACTACAAAAAACAGTGAAAAGATCGAAGCAACGATCGTCATGGACGTCGAAGCTAATAAAGTAAGCATTAAAATTCCACCTTTTTGGAGAGAGAAACCCGACATTTGGTTTTACCAAGTAGAAGCACAGTTTCAAATAAATAAGATCACAACTGAAGAAACCAAATTTAATTATTTGATATCCCAACTGGAACCGAAGTATGTAGAAAATATTTGGGACATTATTAAAGACACTAAGCCTAACAAATATACCTTGGCGAAAGAAAGACTTTTAAATACGTTTAAGGAAAGCGAAAACAAGAGAATTCAGCGCTTAGTTACAGGATTAGAACTTGGAGATTACAAGCCAAGCCAACTTTTGCAAAAAATGAAAAATTTAGGAGCAGACGATTTTTCAGAAAAAGTGTTAAAATCTTTATGGCTTGATAAAATGCCGAATTTTATACGAAATATTCTGCTTGTCAGTGAAGAAAGTTTAGATAAACTGTCTACGATGGCGGATAAAATTCACGAAATGAAAACTGGGGAAGAAATATGTGCTGTTTCACCAAATGTTACCAACAATGATGCTTTAATTGCACGAATAGCAGCATTAGAACAGAAAATTGATTCACTGCAAATAAATGACCGTAGTAGATCTAAATTTAGAAATAATTACCGAAATACATCTCGAAGTCGCAGTCATTCAATAAAAGCATTCAATAGGAAAGGTAAATATTGTTACTATCATTTTAAATTTGGTAATCGTTGCCGACCTGAGAAATGTTATTCACCATGTGCTTGGCGAGAAAAGTCGGAAAACTCCATGATGCAACAGGATTAGCGGCTACAACTGTTGCTGATGTTAATGAAAGCCGCAAGTTCAGATTATTTGTAAAGGATAAAAANGAAAAATAACAATAAATTAAAAATTTAATGTGATTTTAAAGATTGAGAAGTAGTTTTAATTTTCCGATAACATTAAGTAATTACTAACAACTAAGATTATTATAGATAAACAAAGCACAAAAAACAATATAAATTCTTAATTTCTCAATAAAATACTACAAAATGTTCTATAAATAAGGATCCACTACATAGAAACTGCTATCCGAGTCTAATTTTATTGCTTCATAAAAAAACTTGTTATTTTCTTTGAAATAAATTTAGTTTGATTATCAGCTTTCTTAATTCCTTTCTCTTTTAAGGGAGATGAAGCTTTTCTTTTGTTCTGGCAATCAGTTTTTACATTAACACTTTTTGAGCTTATGTGAATAATTTGACTTTACTTCTAAATTTTAGGAAGAAATAAACGGGAAAAGATATTGTCCTGAAATAATTATCGAAAAAAAAAAATTTTTAGCAATGTATACATATATTTTATTTTTAAAATGTTTTTTTTTTTAAATTTAAAATTGAATTTCTGAATTTGATATTTTTTAACAGGACGGAATTCCGTCCCCAAGACGGAAGAGTGGCACCCCTGCTAGTATATAAGAGATGTTAACATGATTCTATCATGAGGTACCTTTTGATAGATGAAGGTTGACATAACATAAATGGTTTAAATTTTATTCAGTCAAACATAATTGGAATGAAATGAGAAACTATAAAATTACATATTTATGCCTTCATAATTGCAGGATTGATTTCATAGGAACTCATCTTGGTAAATGTAATCATCAAGCAAATGTAATCATTCAAACTGCAAGTATTTGCACATGCTTGCACAAGCAATTTATCGAACCTATAGTTCCTAAACATACATACTGTTCAACTTGTAAAATAAAAAAAAAACCTGCTTTAACAAGATATTTAAAACAAAAACTAAAATTCAGAACGAACGCTCACATCAAAGGCATTCAGTTCGCCCTAGTTCGTAATACTCATCCTTTTAGCATTCCAAAGGCCTAATGCAAGACATTCAACATTAAAATAAAGCCTATTGTAATAAATGTAACTGCAACCAGGATATTGCATATTAATTACTAATGAACAATGTTTTATTTGCAGACTTTTCTATATCCCTCAAATGATAAAAACCACATCTAAACAATACTTTTAGGTGGCAGCGTTGAAAGGGAAAATAACATAATGGGCAGGTTCAGTTTATTTCTAGCAAGATTTAAGAGTTTAAACAAATTAGAGCAACAGGAACTATTTCAGAAAATATAAATTAAGTCAAAATTTAAAACTGACTAGATACATAAATAATGAAATTCAGACCATCTAGTAGCTAACCATCATTAATATCTGGAGCATAGTTTATCATCATTACTATAAAGAGCTAGGCATATCAGATTTACAAAAAGTAGAAACAGTATATGACATACTTTTCCGTGGAGCTCAATCTCTTCAGTCTAGCACCATACTTAGAAAGAAAAGCTCACAGCACTAGCTCTCTTGAAAAAAGGTAGGTGCATCATTCTTACAATCGAAGTTTAGTTTTGTCAGATGAGGAAAAAACACTTACCAAAAAATACAGACAAATGCTGTTACAATCCAGTTTCCTTCCGATCAATAAAAAAATTTTAAAAAAATAAAATTTGTCAACATTACTTAGGCACATTATAATCCAGCACTGAAACAAACCTACTGAGTTTAACAAAATAAGATAATTAAAAAATTACTACATAGTGCACAGAATTATTTGACCCAGTTAAAAGAAGCACCTAATTAATATGCAATGCAACAATCAGATCATTGGTAGAATCATCAACATCATTGGATTGGCTCTACTTAATCATCATTTAAAGGATGTTAGAAAAATCAATGCAATTAGAGGATACTCATCACCAGTGCTATGGTTTTGCATTTTGTGTCAGTCAAACACACACCATATTCTACTATGAAATGAGAATAATTTTTGTCCAGAATAGAATTCTGGAACAAATTTTACAAAACCTCTAGAACCTTTCCCCTTGCTACCAAGTCTAACAGAACCACTAATGTTGAATGTGATGAAGATAAAAACTGATAAGACTGTCTATAATTGAAAGTTTTCCATTTGAAAAATGTTACATTATTAGCTTTAAACGAGGTTAAGTCTTTTCTGTCCGGTTTAGCATTCATAGCAAAACCAATGGGAAAAAAAATTCGACCTTATCAACATTCTCGCATAATTTCAGATGCGAGCAACATGGACCTAAGTGTCGATCAACACAAATACTAATTAGCCTTTTCGGTTCATGTTCAATAAAAATGGAAGCTGCACATATGGTCAGATAGGAGCGAAAGACAAATATAAAATTCATCAAAGCTTCAGAATTTAAAAGCATCATCATGAAAATGCACAGCATACTAAAATTCTGCTTAAGTTTCACAATATTTCGATAAAAAATTAAGCACTTTTTACAAACCCAATAAAAAAAGCACATTTAAGGGCTTTTAAAAAACATAATTCAAACATCAACACCTTTGAGCACTTTTTAAAAACATTAAGCACTCAGTTACATAAACTGCATGAAGTTTCCGTATTGCACCTTTGTGAGCTAAAAGAACAAAAGTCTAGCAGCTGTAGATCAGTGCCCAATTGAAGAATATATTTTTTATCTCTATTATAATCAATTTGTTAAAAAGTTGATTTTAGCCTCAGATAAAGAAAGATCAGCAATGAACTTCAGACAAGAGGTACCTAGGTAAATCATCATAGGCAATAATAATGAGCAAAAACTTCATGCATAAGTATAAAACGTTGATTCTACTTTTGGAATCCTCTCCAAATGTCAGCATTTTCAGAAAAGTTTAGCATATGTGGATTAGCAGTTGTTAATCATTAACAATTGACTTTAGATTCAATTCATAACTTTTACATGCATCAACATTTTTGTCAGAAACTATCATTCTACTTTAATACACCAATTTCACTAGCATATTTCATCAGATGAATTTTTACTTAAACGAAAAGTTAAGTCATTTAATTGGTATACATTTATAGTATTGAAAGTGTGTGAGAACAACGGAACAAAATAGCTAAAGAGCCATAATGTACGAGGAACTCTTACTTTATCTATCTGCTTTAATCAGCCCCTCGACCTAAAAAAGAAATCGATGGTCAAGTGAAGCAGAATTTACTTTGTATTTCTCAGCTAATGTACATTATTCAATGTATTATGGTTAAAATATTCATTCACCTCAGAAGAAAGTAATAGTTAAGATTGAACAAGCCTCAATGATACACCTTTAAATATACTACTAGAACTTACATCAGAGAAACTACCACTCATCAGGATCTTTCAGTCTGGGGCGATACTCTTCTCATCATAATAAGTTCTTCATTTCTAACTTAGTGATACAATATGAACTTAGTCTAAATTACTTCAGAGAAATATCATTTCTACAGTATCTTTCAGTCTGGGGCGATACAATTCTCATCACAGTAAGACCAGTATACCCATTCATTTGAGATTTTAAAATAGCCCCCAAAAAAATTATATTTTTAAATATAAGGCTATAAGCAGAGAATTTTGACAAAATGCTGACAAACATATTAAATGGAACTAAGAGAAAACAGTGCTGACAGTTAAAATTCACATTTGTGAAAATCTAAAAACTAAACGTATAGAAAACAATACCATCCCATATATCTGAGAAGGAAGGTATTAAGACACTCAACCAGCATACCTTCCACATTAAATTGAAGCAGTGCAATCTTGATTAAGTGCAATTTCAAGAATCCTAAATATATTTGAAATTTACCATACAGACAAGCAAATTATTCTTGATAAAAATTACTTTTTAAATACATTTAATTTTAAAAAATTTTAATCTGGCATATAATATTCAAAAAATAACACTTCTTAGCAACACAGACCAAAGTATTTATCATAATTCTGATGCAGATTATGACAAAACAATACGAGGCACACTAAATGAAATATACCAGAATTAAAATTAAGTACACTTATCTAAAGGGTATTATTAAGTATCTAACTTTCAGCACTTTAGCCTAAAATGTTACTTCGTTAATAAAATTTGAAAACATTTCAATCTGGTAAATAAAATCTAAAAAAATCAGATAATACTAAGCATCATTGATCAGTAACACGGACCAAAGTATTAATCATCATCAGAAATGCAGAAACTAGCAATAAATGATACTTCAATGAACAATGCTGGTTTTAGAGATCTAGGTGGTAAATATAATCACTATCAGAAGAAAATAGTAATCAATATACCAGTAGCTTAAATCTAAATATCTCACAAAAATCACCTACATTAATTCCAGACAAATTAATTCAATAAAGCATAGGTGGGAAACAGACAATTCCTTAAAATTCACACCAACATTTAAAATAAAATATATAGTATATAGAAGTAATATACCTATTGTGAACCAAAGAACTAAAGACTTGATAAATTCAAGGAGGCCACTAAATATTCAACAGGTTCACTTGGTAACAGGTCCAGAAATACCAACAGATTCAGTTGGAGGTGATGTTAACATTGAGCCTAAAAGCTGCCATTCAGTGAAAGCTAAAACTAACATCTCAGACTAACACTGAACAGAACCATCAGGCTATTATTTCACAACCTAAAATTTATAATATAGTTTAGGAACCCAAGAATAGCCATACAATTAAATATTAAATACTATGTAAAATATAAGAAGGTTCAAAATAAATGTATCTTGTAACAGTGCAATAAAATTCTAGACAGAATGCTTCACACTTGAATATCTACAAATTAATCTTTCTATTGAGTAAAAATGCATGCACTATTTAACTCTGGTTTAATAAATGAGTTAAAAACACTTCATAATACAAAAATCTTGAGAGGAAACACTTCATTCAAAAACAAGAGAGCAATATTTCCTTTAGTACAAGATCTTTATATGGTTTAAATTGTATTGTGAACCATAATTTGATTTAAATGCTAAACAATAAATTTTCCAATTCATATTTATGCCTTCATAATTGCAGGATTGATTTCATAGAAATAGCTCATGTTGGTAAATGTAATCATCAGGCAATTTCGATCTCAGTTTGCATGATTAAGTAGCTCATTGCACATTGATGCAATTTGCACAGGCACAAGCAATTTATCAAACCTGTAGTTCCTGAACATTCACATCTGCCTGTCAGTGAATGTCATGCGAGAATAATGTGCATTGTTAAACTTGTAAAATAATAAAAACCTGCTTAAACAAGCTATTTAAAACAACTAAAATTCAGAACGAACACTCACATCAAAGGCATTCAGTTCGCCCTAGTTCGTAATACTCATCATTTTAATATTCCGAGAGCCTTCGGCAAGACATTAAACATAAACAAAGCCTATAGTAATAAATGTAACTGCAACCAGGATATTGCATATTAATATCTAATAAACAATGTTTTATTTGCAGACATTTCTATATCCCTCAAATGATAATACCACACTTAAACAGTACATTTTAGGTGGCAGCGTTGAAAGGGAAAATACCATAAAGGACAGGTTCAGTTTGTTCCTAGTAAGACTAAAGTGTTAAAACAACAAAGAGCAACAGGAGCTCATAACTATTTTAAAAAATATAAATGAAAAGACTAATTTTTAAAATAGACTAGATACATAAATAATAAAATTCAGACCATCTAGTAGCTAACCATCATTAATATCTGGAGCAAAAATCATCATCATTAATAATTAACAGCCAGAACTGTTAAGTGACAAAATAAATGAGAAATACTTAGCTAAAAACATATATATCCTTGAAAATCTATACTGATTAGTGATTTAGAAATTCAGACTAACTTTTACAGGTCAAGATAAGTCAAAGCTAAAGGACAAAACAAAAATATGATTCCAACATAAACAAAGTGATAAGCTCAATTTCACTATAGTTTTTTAATAACTTTTCTCACGGTTTTGAAAATCTTGATATCCAGGATTCTGGAGGTTTTACGGTTATTTTGTATATTATATACCATAATTGCCATAATCAGGTTTAGGAAATCTCATCAAGCATCAGAAGACCGTTGTAGAGTTATCATGAAAAGCAGTTAAAAAAATATTTAAATCATACATAAAAATAATTTTTCAGAAACGAACACACATCATAGGCATTCAGATCGCCCGTTCGCAGTACTCATCCTTTTATAAAAACCAGATGCCATAGTATCAAAAAAATTTATAATTCGAAACCAAATAGCTAACATTTAAAATCAATGAAGACAAAAACAGGGGCAGTTGCAACACTTGACCTTTAATTATTCCCTTTTTTTTTTGGCTGTCATTATATGTTCAAAGGGAGAATAGCAGAAATGCAATTGATTTTAAGAAAAAGTAGGAACAGGAAGAAAAAAAAGGGTGCCAAAACAGGAAGTCTGCAGTCCAAGAACTTCATGTATAAGATTTACAAAAAGTAGAAACAGCATATGACACTTTTCCGTGGAATTGCTAAGTGTTTTGCTCAGTTTTAAAGTAACTTATCATAATTATAAGAAATATAATTTTTATCACATTTTACCACTCTTTTTTAAAACTAGATTTGTTGACATTTTCTACCTAAATGAAAATGATCAGAATCACAGCAGTGTTCTTAGTTTTTGAAATTTTATATGAATTCAGGTAATGTAGCATTAGAGTAAGCCTTTAAATTAGAAACTACAAAATTAGAAAACAAATGCTTTTCATTGCAACTAAGAAGTGGCTTTCATGCATATTGAAACTTTGAACCAAAACAAGCAGACAGCACTAGCGATGGTTAAGCTAAACTTTTTCAAACAGACAGGAGCCACAGTTGCAAACAATTACGAAAATAGCATATTATTCGTAAAAAAAGCCCTTCGAAAAAAAACCTTAACTTGAAACAGTGTCTAGGATTTCAGAAGCATGTGAATTTTAAACATCCAGACTTCCAAGGCTATACGTTTTTTTTTTGTGAACCACTATGATTAAGACAGTTGCAGCTGACATTCAGATTTACGAAGTCTCATCAGGCATCAGTAGACCGTCGTACAGTCATCATTAAGATTAAATAGCAGTTAAAATATTAAACCATAAGCAAAGATAATAGTTCAGAAACGAACATTCACATCATAGGCATTCAGTTCGCCCTAGTTCGTAGTACTCATCCTATCAAACTATAAGGCACCATAGTACAAAAAATATATATTTTGAACACAAATAATGAACTTGGTATATCAGATTTACAAAAAGTAGAAACAGCATATGACACACTTTTCCGTGGAGCTCAATCTCTTCAGTCTAGCACCATACTTAGAAAGAAAAGCTCATAGCACTAGCTCTCATTAAAAAAGTTAGGTGCATCATTTGAATTTAGTTCCCATGCAACAATCAGATCATGGGCAGAATCATGACCTTCCTATTGACTTTATCTGACTGTTATTTAATGAATTAAGTCAGAAAAATCAATATAATTACAGAATATTCATTACCAGGGCTAATTTAACATTTTGTAACACAGCCAAATAACCTATTCACCAATTTTATAGTCCGTGTCCTCTCTAAACAGTCCTAGAAGTGTGAATTAGAAAACACCAGTAAGTTAATTTCTATTAAAATAGAAGCTGCACATTAGATCAGATAGGAGCGAAAGACAAAGATAAAATTCATCAAATGTTTCAGAATTTTAAAAGCATCATCATGAAAATGTGCTACATTATGCTAAGAAAATATTAATTTAGTTATGCAATTCTTCAGAACTGGTTAGGAATCATAACAATCATTAGAGGTGCCAGTGATGTCATCATAAAGTCGCATTTTATATATCAATGTGTTACAAAAAACCTACGTCTATGTCAAAGAAATTTTAATAACTTAACTGATAAATTAACATAAAACTAATTTTAGCTTGATGTCATAACTGTAATAATAAAAAATTTAATTCAGTATTACATAAATATCAATAGCAAGATCATAAATTATATAAACCGCATAAAAGATATCCATGTTTTCATATTGCACTGTTGTACGAGTCAAAAGAACTGAAGTCTAGCAACTGTAGATCAGTGCCAAATTTTAAAAAAAAAAGCAAACTTTCTACTAAAATATAGCTAAAGCAAAAGTTTATTTTAGCCGCAGATAAAGAAAGATAGGCAATAAGTTTCAGACAAGACAGTGTTTTCATCATAGAAAAAAAATGGGTGAGAATTTCTCACCCTATCTCAAAAACAGGGTGAGATTTCAGAAAATTAAGTGAGATTTCTAAAAACTGAAAAAAATACAAAGAGACTTGAAAAAAAAATTTCTATCATTATAATACATTTTTAACGTCTTCTATTTTTTAAAGCATTGAATATTCTTGCTGCATCATCATAGAAGATTTTGCCTTTACTAGGTATTTGTCCATCTTACATTAGTGCATAAAAAATGTTAACGTCTACCTTACCTGCGGTAAACACGTGGTTGCAGAGAAATGTGTTCTGAAAGGGGTTCCGTGGTTCGGAGGGGTTGTGTTCTGTTGTTCGAAAAAGTTCTGAACAATACTGGTAAATAGGGAATCTAGATAATGGGGCAAATGCTGAAAATAATGAAAGATCCAGGAAGAAAAGTGAAATGGATTTTATTCTAATTGGCGTAATTCGAAGCTTTTTCCAAAATGCGAAAAATTCGCGAATTTTGAAATTGATTTATAGAATGCGCGAATTTCTCGCGGTAATCATTTTTTAATGCGAGAAAAGAAAAAAATATGCGAGATTCTCGCGTTCTCGCGCTGTAGTGAAAACACTGCAAGAGATACCTAGGTAATTCGTTACAGGTAATATAGATTCATAATGAACAAAAATTAAATACTAACCCTTATAAGCAGAAAAGTTTGAAACAACCTTTCTTTACCAAATTATAAATTTTACTATCCTAGTAGAACATTTAGGCAGCCTATAAAAAATTAACTAGCAATAATCAAAGTTATGAAATAAAGTTATAATCATTTACCTTTAGCTACGTCTAGAATTATGTATTCATATTTTTTGTATAGACAAATACTTATTAATTTATAAATAAATATTCTATTAGACAGTTATTGTAGATTTAACTGTTTCTATATCATTGAAAATTTTCTTAAACAATATACAGTGTTTAACTGTAATATAGTACCTTTCCTATAAAGAAAATTTCTTCCTAGAATGTCCACTTATATGGGATTTCACTTTAAAGACCTTTTATTTTATTTAAACTAACTTCAGAGAAACAATACGCTCATCAGGATCGTTCAGTCTGGGGCGATACTATTTTCATCATAAGGTTTTCTATTTGTAACTTATGTCAGGGACCATACAACTCATATCAATAAGACAAGGGACCACCATATTTAACTTTCAAAATATAAATAATTGTAAAATATTGAATAAAAAAATCAGAAAATACTAAACATCATTGATCAGAAACACGGACCAAAGTATTAATCATCAAAAATGTAGAAACTAGCAATAAATATTATACATCAATGAACAATGCTGTTTTCAGAGATCTTGGTGGTAAATATAATCACTTCATCAGAAAAAAATATTTATCATCATTACACCAGCAATTTAAACCCAAAAAATTTAAGTCTCCTTGTAACAATGCAGAACAAAATATTTATAATATTAAGTTTTTAAGCTTAAAACATTTCTTCAGAAAAATATGATCAGCATGTATTTCAGACATATGCTTGTTAAACATCATAAGAATAAATATGTAAACTACTATGAAATTAAGTTTGAAAAACACACATATAGAAGAGTCTTGAATCATTGATAAAAAAATTTTAAAAACAGGTAAGAATCACTAAGTGAAGAAGTGAACTGGTTCAGAGATTCTTCATAAATTTAAAGGATTATTCGCAAATCAAAACTCTACCACATCATGAAATTTCTTATAACTTGCTCATATTATTAATAACCTGTTTATAACTTCTATTACAGTACAGAACATAATGACAAAATATAAATTTCATTTGGTATATGATGCATAACTAAAGAAAAACACATCTAATCAGTATGAATAAGTATCATCAAGCTTCAGTACTCTAGCCAATTTTCATCATAATGTGCATTATTATCAAATGATTTTAATGAGATAAAAAAGGCACATAGAAATGCATAAAAGGAACTATTAAACAATTATTTTACCTTTACACACTCTAAAAGACAAAACAGCAGTCTACAACCAATTATTCTAAAATAAATTGCAGAGAATTACACCTATAAGAATGTGGATTAACTGACTAAATAGTACTCAAGTACTTGATGAGTGAGACTCAGTAAAAATTTATCTACATAAAGTTTCAGTCCCGAAAGATGATTGGGCATCACAGTCTACAACTTATTAGTCATAAGCAAATAGTGAAAAACTATAGAATGAATAAAACAGCTCTTTAGGAGGCAAAATATGAGGAAATAAGGAACATAGCAACTCTAAACAAAGCACTTAAAATATAGAAGTATTTGATAAATGAGACTCAGTATAACTTATCCACATAAAGTTTCAGCCCCGAAAGATGATTGAACATCATAGTCATTATAGTTTGAAACAAATTCTCTGTATGATAACAACGGAACTTAACAGCCCATAAAGAACTAAAGTACGAGGAAATCAACTTTATATATCTGCTTAATATCCCGATTTGAAAAAATTTCAAACAGGTCAAGTGTCAGCAGAAAACTTAGCTGTTAAATATTTCAAAAAGACAAAAAAATTAGAAAGACAAAAAATTAAAAAACTGACAAATTTTAAAGACAGAATAAAGAAATATTTATATTCTAATCATAATGTAACAGAAACCATACAAAAAAAATTGGTAATAGAAATCAGTTAGGTTTTTACAATGTCTGATTTTACTCACTATCAATAAAAAAAAAAAAATCCATAAGCAAAAGTACAATTAAAGATTTAAAAATGCTAATTTTACTTTGAAGTACCTGCCGTATACACACTTGAAAAAAATATATATAACTCGACGATTCCTTTAAAATTCAGTTAATCGTTAGACTACGTGGAAAAACCGATCCTCACCAAAATTTCGGCTAATTATTCAGTAAATACTTCACTCCAAAACATGTTAAATTATTTACTTTTATGAAAGATACACTTTAAAGAGATACAGAAAAACTATATTAATTTGTATTCTTAGTTAAAAGAAATAAAAAAAAACATACTTCTAAAAATATTTATTGAATCGATCCACACGACGCTTAAGTTAAATCCGTTAGAATCTACATTTTTTCACATCAAAAAATAATTTAAAAATGCTCCGAATGGAGAACACTACTTATAACTTAAAAATAATACACTATTCTTAGTGGTAAAAAATTAAGCAGTACACTTTACACTTCTTCAAAAATTGATTAGTTTGGAAACCGCCGATTTCTGAGATTTATTAAATAATTTAAAGTAACTTTTAAAAGCGAACATTCCTATTAAATAATAACAGAAAACTGATTGATAAAAACCAAGAAATATACTTATCACTTTCACGAAAATTATTTAAAATAATTGTACAAGGAACAGGCTCTGGTCACACAGCTACAGAGATATCAGTCGCATTAATGAAATGAAATGGTACGGCATGGCCATGGTGTATGACTATACACTGTTGCCAAAACTTAAAATTAAAAAGTAGCGAATGGGAGTTCTAAAAAGTAGTGGATTTGAACATGGCTGTTGCTTGGCTGACCGCTTTTTTAATAAATAGAGGCATTTGATTGGTCAATTACATCATCGTTTTCATCGTTATCGCTTAATCGTTTTGTCAGGTTTACTAGAATGGCGCTTTTAGCATTTTTGCTTGGCAGAATTTTAATAACGCGCATGCTCAGTTTGATAATTTATTTAAACCAATCGAAGTACTTCGTAGACAATGAATATAGATGCTTGTATCCTCTCCTTTGCTTGCGTATACTCAAACAAAGACATAAAGATGGAAAGATCAATCACTGTACCAAACAGATGTCAGGGTGAACTTTGACATTGGACACATCACTGGTCTCTATTTTTTTCATTTGATTTTCATAAATTGTTATGATAAATAATAACATTCTGTCTCTGTGCCAGAAAAATCTGAACACATTTTTTTTAAAGATTTATAATTTGTAAATTTTAAATGAAAAAATTAATGTATTTTAAAAAATTGATTTTTATATTGTTCTGAAATTCAAATACTTGAAATAAATATTAAAAAAACAATTTAAGTGCNTTATTTAGTTTAAAAAGATAGATTCTAAATAAAAATATACTAAACATTTTGGAGCAAAAAAAAAAAAAAAACTTTTAACTGATAACTATAAATGAGGCTCATTTCATTTTGTATTAGTAATACTTAATGAAATATTCAAACAAGCAATAAATTGTGTGAAGATTTTATTTCAATTGTTTTTCAGGAAATTTACATAATTTTAGCAAATTTTTAAAAGTGTACAAAAATCAGAAGAATTTTTACTAAACTAATAGAACAGGAGAAACTGGCAAAATTCGGAAGAGTTGGCAATTCCAGCTAAGATAAAATCAACTAAACTGCAAAACAACCACTAATTTTCCGAATTTTTTTTTTTTTAAATTTTAAGACAAATTAATTTACAGTGATCAATTAACAGTAATTGATAACATTAATTGTAATTGGTTATAAAAATACCTATCACTAAAATTTATGTTAATGGGTAACCTAGGAATATTGTAGATGCCAAGTTTGGTCACGTGCTCCAGTCATGTTTTAATGAATAAACATATCCCGCATTGCCGTTCAACAAGTTGTCTCTAAAAGTCCGGTAAGATCAAAATAAAAATTTTAGTCACCAAACCAGCAAACAAGACATTTATTTTGCTATGTTAAATAAAAAGCATTTCATTTCTTTCCCTATCGTGTATGTGTGTATTGTCTGTAGTAATATTTTTTTTCATTTCTTTATTACTTAAATTAATTATTCTAAAAAAATTTTTATTTATTGCTTCGTATGTAGTTCATTTTCATAATTTATTTCACGATTGAAAAAAACCCGCATAGCCGTTCTATAAGTCGTTTTCCAAAATATAGCTACGTCAACTTGAAATTTTAAGTCTCCGAACAAAAATAAATAAATAAAAAATACACCATAAAAATTCCTGATCTAATTGTAAAATGAAGCACCGGCACCTCGGGTGCATCATTCGTAAAATCCACTTTACCGTAATTTTTTATTTAATTGAAGTGATAAAATGATTTTGCGATAATTATACTGTAAAAATAACGCTGCATCAGATTTTTTGTACCGTAAAAAGTACCGCCAATTCTTAACAGTAATTTGATCCGTTCTTTTCTAAAATTAAACAGAGTATTTCGTTATGTTACATAAAAAGTAATTTGTTCCTTTTAAAATTAAGTTCTTTTAAGTTTTTGTTTCTTAATAATGCATGTTGCATATTATTTGCAGTAAAACTCTTAATCTTTACCCTTTAAATTAATCATTCCAAAAAAAAATTATTTATTTATTGTACTCGTACGTAGTCTTATTTCCATAATTTATTCTAGTACGAAAAAAAAAAGCAAACAATCTTTGCACTCTTATCTTTAAAACGTAATCAAATTAGAGCACAACGCAAATACTCTCTACACATTCAAGATTATTAAATTCTATCCGGAAACAGAAGAATTCAAGTTTCGAAATTCGCTAACATTATTATAACACCCCTTCCTTCAATTTCCTGCCTAACTCTAGGATTAATCGACGGTTTCCGGAACTAGAATCCCGAAAACCAATGTCATGTAACCAACTAACGAACCAGAGGCGCTCGACCGTTAGACCTTTTCACCGAGTGGATCACGCTCTTGTAGATAGAAACCCTAAATTCCATTCTAGGCGCTAGTTCATTAGTAAAAGCTAAAGAACAGGAGAGTTACGAGAATTCACGGGCGTCAGATGTTAGCAGCATTTGAATTTACTATTGTTGAACATCCGTGCAAGTTTCGAGCAATTATGTTTAATTCTTGCATTGTGAACTCGGAACACTTTGTTATCTCTTTTACTAAACGGAGTCGAAATTTGATGCCTGGAATGTTTATTTCTGGATCTTGGAAATATTTCGTCCTGATTAAAGCGTTCTCGATATCTTTAAGATTTTAAATTAAAAATTCTGTGAGCGCTGATAAAGGAATGAATTTATTTTCAAAGACCGAATATTATTGTGAATTTTATTTGCATACATTTTAAGTTCTTTTCTTTATTATTTTTATTAATTTGTTATTTGCTCATCGGGTTAGCATTCATTGCTACATAGTAAAACATTCCTAATCAAATTACGGTAAAAAGTAACGGCACTCAGATCGCCGGTACTTCTTACCGTGAAATCCATCTTTACCTGAACATGTTAAGGAACAAAAAAATCTGATACATCGTCATTTTTTGCAGTAATAATTACCGCAAAACCACTGAATCACTCTTATTAAATAAAAAAGACTGTAAAATTTACGGTAAAATGTTTTACGTTAAAAATAGATTTTACGACAAAATGTATTTATTGGATCATGCACCTAAAGTGCTGGTACTTAATATCGAAATTTGATCCGGAATTTTTTACAGTGTACTTGAAAAATGTATTTAAATTTCGTGTTATTTTCATTATTTTAACGAAATATTTAAAGTTTTAAACATAATTTGTTTTTATTATTTGATGTTTGATAAAATCTATTAAAAATGCGTGCTTATTAATGGAAGTTTGGCATACAATGTAGTTTTCTTGGTATTTTAGAAAATAAAGATTATTTAAGTTTTTGTCTATATATAGAATTAATGCTTGCTGGGCCATGTGCACTAAAATACCATTTCATAAGCTAAGTATTAGAAAATGATCTTAATTTATATACCTGAGAAATAATATCGATTAATATTTAGTTATAAAATAGCCATTGCTTCATATACATAAAAAACGGAATACCTATCAAACTTTGAAATGTATCTTTATATGAAGAGTCTACAGAGTCTATTATTAGTTAACAGAATCTTAATAAACACGGACCAACACATCATTACAATTTACAATTAATACGATGAAATTTTTAAATAATTATGAATTATTTAAATTAACGGCATAATGCTAGACTGAGAGTAAAATATAGTTACATGATGTGAGTTTTGTACAATAATATAAAAAAAATTATAACTTTTTTCTCTTTTATTTTTACACCAAAATGACTATAGAATATATATTTTATAGTACCGGCTGGATTTGACTTTCAGTCAAAAAATTTATTTATTTTAATAAAAGTTCGCTAGCTTTAAAAGCGTCCTTCAAAAACTCGGATGGCATGCAAATTTGAAATTCACTAAACAATATTTTACATCGCCAACA